AACATCTCTCAGATATCACGAGGTTATATAGACCGTATGATTACTTCGCACTCGTTTCTTGTTGTTTCGTTACTCTGCCAGGTACTGGTTAATGCGCAGTAGGTGGTCGAGATCCAGGGAACAATCGATATTTTGAGATCTGATCTAGATTGAATGAGGTTAATATTTACAATGCCTGAGTAGACTAAAGGTTATGTTTTTGATAAACCACAACCCTAAGACAACTGTGAAGCTCTTCGTGAAACTTTTCAAAAGATGTAATCTGGCTGTCAAGAGTGGCTGATAGCTTACAACGTCAGAAGTTTGGGTTGCTCATATCTCCGATCAACATTTTTGAGTTTTGTGATTTTTCATTGGTAATTACTAAAGCATGGAGTGACATGTTAGAAAATATGTTTTTCACTTGCTGTTCTCCGTAGTTCAAAGGCACAGGTGTGTTAAATGTGTCCTATTTACATCATGCGACACTGAGGTTGTAACCTTAGGGATCCTGATAAGGGGAAGCTAGAATCTTTGGTCCTTTACAGAAACATTCGTGGCTATCTTTCAGTATCCTAGTTATATTCACTTATTGTTCGCTAAGAGGTACATGCTGACTAGAGAACGATTCATAAGTACATTGCAAAGTCTGCAGGTTCTATTTGTTACATTTTGATTAGCCAAACGAGGTGAGTCCAAACAAAGCAACTGCAGATTTAATGAGGCAATCCGGAGGCAAAACCGGAAATATGACACATTTCCACTATCATACTGGAGTAGTTAAGTGCGTCCAGGTGTTCCGTTCTTGCGTCGTCACCTTTGCTGGTAGACAACCATATATCTGACATTGATTAGCTTCAGTCGAAGCTTTGCACTAGGATGAGACAAAGAATGAAAGTGTAATAAATACTAACTTCTCCTCATATTTTTAGGGGCGAAAGGTCATGGTATTACAATTGGTCGTGTCACAGTAAGTTAGAATACCGTCAATTAGCAGTGGTAACTGATTTCGTTTTGAGACAAGAGTTTTTTGTTGTAAATACGTGTCGTAATTCTTGATCCCCGTCTTGTTTGTTTCGAATTTATTCTAGAGTGTTGTATCACATTCATTTCTAGCCGAGATAACGCATCTGCCCGTTTGATTTCCGAACTTTGGACATGTCGGATATCACTTGTGAGTGTTTGGTCAGTGGTTTGTGATCCATAAAAAATATGAAGTCCCTGCCTTCTAACATATGTCGGAAATGTTTAATGTTTAAGTAGATTGCAAGTTCTCTCCCGAAGGTGCTGGAACGAGTCCTTTTGAAAATAAAGCAGTTGGTTTCTAGGCGTTTTTGATCAGTTGGTTAAGAGTACAGCCTACTGCTTTATCTGAAGCATTTAACTCAAAGCAGGTGGGGAAGGAGAATTCGGATACATCATCGTGGATGCTTGAGCTTTCGCGATTTTAGGTTCGTTTAAGGCTTGAAGTGTTGCTGGGGATATTTCTGGACCTGGCTCAGTTTGTTTTGATGGATGCTACTGAGAGCAGCGTCAGCATCTACCAAGAAGTTCAAGTTGGACTCCCTGTTTCTAACATAAAACAAGCGCCAGCTTAGACGCCCTTTTTCAGTCATCGCGACCTGAGGAGGGGCTATTTATTTCCCATATTCTTGGGATTCTGTTTACGCCTCGTGCATGGTTACATGTACTTGGTTGAGTTGGCACCAAACTTCCAGCGAGATTATCAGAACTGCCCAGATTGTCTAGACATTTGTGACCTGTTTTGAGACTGGGGTCTTGGTCGTTGGGATGACCTGCTCCTGTTTCTATGATCGGTTTGCATTCTAGCGACAGCTTCAGTGAAACTTTTAGTGTCATCCCAAAGCCCGTGGTTTGTGAAATCCTCTCAAATCCACGTTACATGCAACAAACCGTGGGTCATATACAGTGTTGTAGTTGTATTAGGACCCAACAATACGATCTTCGAAGCCGTGTTCATAATTACTGAAAAGATTTGCATTTGACGTATAACACTTAGAGTGGAATATATTTTAGAATATTTTGTAGAGTGTGATTTTTTTGTTTATTTTAAGTGACTTTTATAATAAACGAATGAAACACCGCCGTGTCTGAATTGTTTTTTTGTGGTTAGCGTTTTTTTAGCGAGTTAGTTTTCTACGGGATTAGGTCGCTAACCCTTCATCCAGCCTTGGGATTGGCAGTAGTCCCAGAGTGGCTCCAGGAGGAGTTAAGAATGACACAAACTGAAAAAACTAGTGGTTTGTCATTTCAATTGATTTTTAAATATTTTCACGCGTTTGTTTTATTTTATCTATTGGGTTAGATCAAAATTTATCCAAGTGGTGAGCATATTACGAAATTGGTCACTTTCGATAAAGATCCTGTGAGGATTATGTGCTGCCTTCAGAATGGTCAGATTGATCTTTACACAATAGAACAGTAGTACTTGTCTTTCAATAATCTCTGTAACCATTACCTGTGATGACGTAATCTATCTTTTTATTCTCATTTTTCTTTATCATGTAACTTGTTTTGTTTAATGTTGTTAATTTAACCGATGAATAAACAAATTGAGAATAAAACCAACTCTTTTGTCAGTAATTACCTTCGAAAGAAATGTATTAGCATGGAGTGAGTTGATTCTCAGTTTTTTTCCGATCATAAGTCTTTCATCACAAACCGACTTAACATCTGCAGAAACTATTATTATGTTTCAAACTAACTTTGGACAACACTTTAGAACTAGGAAGTTAATCAAGAATATTTTCAACTTCAAGCATGACACTTGTTCGCTTTAGCAAACGTGAATTCAGTGTTAACGTGTAATCAGCACATATTCTATGGGTTTTCTCATTAAATTTCAAAGGCGTTGCCACAGGAGTAACCGATTGTGAAGATTTGACTGCCAGATGTATTCTTTTCTTACATGAATCATTCAATGACTTGTACACTAATTCTCAAAATCGACAAGGGATTATTCATCTCTTATGAAATACTGGATCACTCTCTCCACTAAACGTAGCACAGGCAGCTATCACAGTTTTGAGTAAAGCATCAGGTTTTTCTTTGGAAGCTAATAACGACAGTTACACTTTAGGCCTTTTCAAATCTACTGTTGACTATTATGTTTCATTTACGTACATCTCTCAAGACACGTATGAAGATCTGTCATCTATAATAAATAATTCACGGCATCCTTGTGTATGCAATTTATAACCATTAATTGCTAATACTGAGAATTCAGTAGATCATATTGCAACATTAGAATTTAAAAGTCTCTTGCTTTTGAATGAAATAATGGACTCCAAACTATCTATATCCAGCTGTTCAGGAACTCATTCTGTTACATCATTGGTGTAATCGGTTATAATGGAATTCGATGCGCCGACTAGTAACACTCAAAAATGTCTCTACGGTGTTCCAGCCAGATTGGTTGGTAAAGCATATTTTGTGGAGACCTACGGACCCTTCTGGAATGAGTTCCATGCTTCCAAGGCTCACGAACTAACCTCATGGATGTGAAATTCGGAGAACCGTGACCCCTCAGGTCTTTGCGTGCGTGTAGGTATCGTATCAAGAAGAGAAAGTGAAGGAGTTCTGATGTTTTTACTTACAGTGGATAGGTAGAGTCTACTTGCATACTATGCAACACACAGACATTCATCTCAGTATTCCTTGAAGTACATACAGGTATACATACTCTGTGAGCAAATATGCGTTCCATTCACACTGGTAACACACAGGTTTTATCCTATATATCCCATAGCGTACATATAGGTATATTCACCCAAATGAGAGGTTGAATGCTCACCACCCCTTTAGAAATGTATTTGCTACACAGACTGTTTCTTATACAATACATGCATATCATTCCGCTCATGGCTAAACACACATAAGCATAAGCATTCTCTCGCAGCAGGTTGTTATTCACCTCTTCTTCGTATGTGCTACCATATCTTTTTATTATGTCTTCGACCTAATAGATTAGGGCTCTGATTTTATTAAACATAGGGCAGACAATGTTTTAGTTAACGTCTCCATTGTACGACACCACACATATAGCCTTTGTATATACCTACATGCATGAACTGCATAAGCTCGAGGACTTCTGCAATTCTTGTACATAA